ATTACATAATTAAATATCAGATAATAAAGTGATATGATGTCAAAGTGTTACATTATTAAAACAATTTAAAAGTTAATATTACATAAAGGACATTTAAGGATCAAATTGGGAGAAACTAATCAAATTCAGGTGCAAAATGCATTTTTTAATTAAATTACATGTAGCTCTCAAGTTATCCCAAAATCCAATACGAAACTTGCTTTGTTGCGACGTAAATATTTCTTTTTATATTCCTTAAATTGCAAACCTCTTCCATTAATAAAAGGCTTAACTAAAAAGTATTTATAATATACAATCCTTTTCATTTAGTTAAAGCATTTTTAGGTAAAATAACTATCTAAAGTATATTACATTTTTCAAATGGGTATTTAAAATATTTTATTTGTCAAAGTAAGTACTTAAAATATTTTTTTTATCTAAGTACGTAAAGTATTTTTATCATGCGTCAACTTTAGATACCTAGATGAAAATTTTATACTTTAAATACTTATTTTAATAAAAGAATATATAAAGTACTTAAGATTGATTTTGAGTGGGTTTCATGAAAAACATGTCCTAGAAGAAAAAAAAGGAGTGAAATACGAATGTTTTGGTATTGACATACTCGCGAGATATGACCGATGATGGGCAGCGCTTAACTGTCGACGACGGTCGGAAAGTACAGTGCTAAAAAATTATTTAAAAGTCTAGTGATAAAATTGATACACCCTTAATGTTCAGTGTCTAAAACAATGTCGTTTTAGGCATCATAACAATCATACCAGAACAACTTCGTTTAGGTGTGACGACTGACAGGTCAAGTCAGCAATCGTTAATCATGTCATTGTCACATTACTGACTCAACGACAAATCGATATAATTGAATGTAAACTAAAGTTCAACGTTGTAATTGGCAAAATTGGAAGTTAATGTGATATGAACTAGTTTTTTTTGGTCCAATAGGGCAGTCCAAAAAAATTACAAAATAGGGCACAAACACTTTTATTTTGGGATTTACGACATTTTTTACGATGCATGAAACTCGTCACGTCGAGATGACAAGTTCTAATAAAAACTATTTTGTATTCAAACTTTTTACTTCGATGTGATAAAATTTAATAAAAAATATATTTTATTAAAACTCGTCACCTCAAGCTGACGAATTTGAATAAAAAATATTTTTATCAGAACTCGTCACATCCACGTGACGAGTTTTATTACTACTATAGAAAATATCACAAATCCCAAAATAAACTTATGATTGTCATATTTTTCTAAATAATTTACCTGTTTATCCTATTGAACAAAAAAACTATAAACGAGTCAACGGATAAAACTCAATAATAAGTGAATTACTTTATCCCGGACCCCAAATAATATACTCTAAATATCTGTTTTTGAAATAAGTATTAATGAAAAGAATAACATGGAAAACCTGCCCATTTAAAAATAAGAATCAAAGGTTGCAGGAGGAACCTCGCTATAATTTGTACAAAATATATGTTAATTAAAGCTGATACGAATCTCTTTGATTATACGTATCTTGAGATCGTGGGATCGAGTCTCATGGAGGGCATTTCATAATTCGGAGGTCTCCTACGGAAGCTGCTCTCAACCTAGTGTTGGGGACAACCTACTATCTTACTCCCCTTACCCCATTACATAGGGGAACAATGGACAACCATTTAAGCTAGGCTTTTCGTTTCCCTTAAACTAATACCTGATTAATTTGTTATTATATTATAACGAAGCACGTGATTAGCACGGCCGGTTCATGTTTTAAGGCGCAAATTGACGCAACAAATAAGGAAGAAACATAGTACATTGCTAATTTTTCTATGGACGTGTGAACAAAACATATAAAAATAAAAATAAAAGTAATTACGAATCAATGCCTCTACTTTTCGCAAATTATAAAGTTCGTCCATGTACGTTAATTTATCAAATATAGAGGGAGTGGATATTCAATTTGCATAAACAGAGGAGCGAAATTTACATTAAAACAACCGTGATTCCAAGTAAATCCACGTTCACCTAAGGTCAGCGGTTTCAATTTTTAACTAAAAACAACGGATTCATGCACGTGTGTGACGGGGGGGGGGGAAATCATATTCAGCAATTATTATGAAAATCTATATTTATAATTTATAATTAATTTGCCTCTCATAATCATTCCTCTTAAGCTACACTGATCATGGATAAACGATTTATTTATTTAATTAAATTTAAACTAATTTATTTATTTCCCCCGAATTTTCTGCTGTCTCTAGCTGTAAAAACGATACTAAAATAATGTGGCCTTATTGCTAGATTTAAGGTTGCCCAATTCCCAACCACATGAAACACATTGTAATATAATTAATTAATTAATTAATCTTCCAGATATATAATATAAATAAACTATTAAACCTCTTAAATATTGTTTAATGATTGAATCATAACGTTAATTTATTTTCGTTTCCTAATCAAATGATTTTTAGATAGAAGCCGCTCATTTATTAGAAGAATAAAATATCTCGAATTACAATAAAGATTTACGATCATAGTCAAATTAAATATATAATTAGGACATTTTTTAAATCATTGACATAAAATTAGTAACTTAAGATCACATAAGGATCGGGCCATACAATAAAATATTTAAAAAAAGTAACCAAAATTCGAACAAGGATAGATGCAAATATATTTGATCGCATCAGTAAAAGGACCCCAAACGATGATTAAGCTATTGAGATATCTCCGACAAAATCGTAAATCAGAGACGAGCGACGTGAAAAAACTATTCACGGACGCAAATCAAGTATCCAAATCAAACGCCAAGAGTCCAAAGTAGGGAAGATCAACATGATAATAGATAAACGTCATCTTGATCAGTCATGACGATTTTGAATCAACCCTTAAAAAATATAAATGAAAAACAATGACCAATCAACCAAAAAAATGTCAAAAAATAGAGAAAAAATGTCATAAAGATAAACTTATTGTGAAAGTTAAAAAAAATATACGATATAAAAAAATCAGAGTTCAACAACTAACGTTAATGTTAGTAACGTCGTCGATCAACAAAGATTAAAAAAAGTATAAATAACACCCACAAAATGAGAGAAAAATAGAGAAGTAGGGTAATACTTCGCCAAAACTTGGCTGCTTTTTTTTTTTTTCTTCTTCTTCTTCGGATAAACTGTTTGGGGCTCATTCCAAATAGGAAGTGACAAAAATATTTAATGCCGTAGCTGGTTCCTGTGAGGAAGGTATGGAACATGTAGGGATAAATGGCTAATTTCCAGACTTCAATAATTTCAATAAATAAAATAAAATTTAAAGGACATGATTTTCATAGTTGTGCATTCGCCTGTTAATTTTCTCACCAAACACAAAGATTGTTGTAAGAAATAAAATTGATTAAATCATTTAATTCCTCTATCTAAACCAACCCTATCGAGATTATAAAATTCAATGCACTGAAATTCAATATATCAAATATAAATATTTTAAATCATTTTTTATTAAATATGGCTTTTAATTTTTTAATCAAATTATCTCGATTTTATTAAAAATGATCAAACATGATAATTTGTGTATAATCCATTATCAGTGTAATCTTATTTTATTAAATGTCATATAACTATAATGTAAATGCTCGATATATATATATATATATTTGTGAATATTATATATATTATTTAAAGGGAGATGACTATCCAGTTTAGTTGGTAAAGCACAAGGTTCTTAACTTTGAGGTCGTGAGATCGAGTCCCACGGAGGGCATTTCATAATTTGGAGGTTTTCTACGGAAGCTGCTCTCAACCTGGTGTTGGGAACAACCTACTATCTTACCTCCCCCTTACCTCATTACATATGAGAACAAGGGACAACCAACCATTTATATTATTTAAAGGCCAACAGCCAGATCAGTTGAAGCGGAAAATAATTAAAGAAACAAAAATGAAATCCCAACAAACCTGTTAGAAAACTGTAATGGAATATGATGTCAGCAGCTGAAATTTGTAATAAATTAATTGTTTTTGGTTATGCAATTTGGTTTTAGTTTGATTTAAATATATAATTTCATAATTTGATTCAATTTTGATTTTTTTATATAGAATTTATTTGCTCGAAATCATTAAAAAAATCAAATCAAACCCTTTTTAAATTATTACAAAATAAATTTAAATAAATAAATCAAAACAGATATTTATTACAATCACTGATATATATATATATACATACAATGGATGGTAGTTGACATGCAGCTGTCAAAATGAATAAGCCTCTCCTCTAACAGACCATCTATTATACTATTTTCCTATTTTCTTAAATAAAAATATACTTCCTGAATTCCTCATTTGGTCATGTTTATGCTATTAAAAGGAGAATGTGGATTGGGATAATTCCTTAATTTACATAATTAAACCCTGGCCATTGTTTTTTATGCTATTTGAGTTCTTTTCCATGGGAAGGATTAGGACATATCATGAAATAATTGCGTTTGGTTGCTTGGATCTTTCTGGTCCTGTTGCCCCTGCTCTCCCTTTGGGTGATTCGAATTCAGAAATTTGATTCGAACTCGAAAAATTTATTCAGTCAAATTAAAATTGTTATATAAAAATTATCTCCATAAAATCAGGGGTGTAGTAAGCAAATTGCCCCTTCCGTCCCCATGTGAAAATTCTTTGCTTTAGCCCATGGATGTATAATACTCAAGGTATAATTATTGATGTCGTCCTCCAATTTTCAAAAGATGAGAAATTAGTCCTTTAATTTTAGTTTATGAGAACATAATGCAAGTAAAAACCATTATTCATATTTCTCTAGGGGAAAAAAGAGACCTAATTAGATTTGACCAACCGGTCCATGCCACTCGGGAGCTCCTAAGCACAACGAAATACAATCCATGCAATTTATTTTACTATTTTTTTGCCTTTTTTCATCGAGGAAAAAAATATTGTAAAAGGGCAGTTTCGTAAATAAAATTATAATATTTTCTTTGAAGCGAGAAAAAAAAACACACTATTTTTTTTGTTTCTAGTGATCCCATAGTAAAGGGGCGAAACCAGATGTAATATCGCTTTCTTGCATTTGGATTGAAATCGCTTCCCCAAAATACCCACAGCTTTCTTCGTAATACCAAGGCATGCCACTAGAGTTAAAAAACCAGCCGTCGACCGCGTCCACGAACACGAACTCGTTCCCCGACTGGGCCGATTCGTAGCTCGTCCCAAGACTCGGCAGCTCCACTATCTGGCTCAGCTCTTCCGGTGTGTCCACATTCAATGAAGACGACGACGTGGAATCGGATAACGACAGCGACAAAGAAGATGAAGTGGCGCTTCTATTGCTGTTGTCACTAGTAGTAGTAGTATTAGTATTACTTGAGAACTCCACGGAAGCAGCTTTGGCCGCGGCGGCTTGGACGTCTCGTGGCGAGTTGGAAACCGGTCGGGGCATCGAGTCGGCGAGTTCGGGGAAGTTGAGAATCGCCGAGTCACCTTTTATGCTCAAGGCGGCCACGTCGTGGGCACGCGCCGCCATTTCGGGAGTCGAGAAGGTGCCCAACCAGATCCGGTTCTTCTTTCGGGGCTCTCGGATTTCGGATACCCATTTACCCCACGCCCGCATTCGTACTCCACGGTAAACCGGATGCCTGCTATTGCTACTATTACTACGCTTCTGCCTCTTCGAATCGGGTGTCGGGTCAGTACTACCCGATGCCCTTTTACCTCCATAAGAGCACGGTGATGGCGGAGATAGAGTAAACGAGCTGTTGCTAACAGTGCTTGACTCAGTTTCCGAGTTTAGCGAGTCACCCATTGCTCGGTTCTCTGGCTCGGAGAGTTCTCTTATTCAATACAATAATGCTAACAGCTAACTGTGCAAAAGAAGCAGCCGAGTTTATGAACAGAAAGAGCAGTGAGAAAGCTTAAAGGGATTTTGTTGTAGAGAGAGAGGGAGGTTTGATCTGAGGAGAAAAGGGAAGGGAGGATAAGTGGGGGTTTTATGAAGGGAAAAAGCAGGAAGAAGGATACGGAGAGAATAACAGCCGAAGGGAAAACGTGTTTATTTAAGTCATGCCCTACAGGCCACACTGATACACGTACGAACACCACCAATCTGCCCTTTTCTTATTCCATTATTATTCATTGTTATAGCCTTCTAAATACTGTATATTTCACATTACTTTTGATTAACTACACGACCAATCACTTAAATTTGTGTTTTTTCCGCTTTCTTCGCTGATTTTAAAAATATAATATATAATCATTTTCATTTTTATTTAATTAAAATGTGATCAGTGCGAGTTAACCGTTGTTAAATATTTTTATAATCACACATTTTATCTATGTTATTTATATATTATCGCAATTTAATTATACTTTTAACCGAATAGTCTATGTATCATAATTCGGTTGCATGACTAACTTTATTTTAATTTATTTTAATCTAATATATTTATTTTTCACCAATCAGAGGGTGACATGTGTTACCCTTTAGTTGTTGGAAAATAAATATATTATATTAAAATAAATTTAGTCCTCCAATTGAATGGTGATACATGGCATGACATGTGGCGCTAGTGAAATGTGGCATCATTCAATTGGAGGATTGAATTTATTAAAAGTATGACTAAATTGAGAGAATATGTAAATAACAATGATCAAATATATGATTATACCAAAATATAATGTTACCAAATTTGTTAACTGTTAATGACAGTTAACACGTGGTCCTTAATTAAATAAAAACTAATGTGACCATATATTATTTTTTAATCAATGTGGAAAAATTGATAAAACACAAACAAAAACAATTAATCATGTAGTTAACCCTATTCTAAATTCACCTAAATTTGAAGATTTATATTTATTTTATCTTTAAAATTTGAAATTAGTTAAATTATATAAAAATAGACTTTGATTTAGTTGTAATATTAAAACAATGTGTTGATATGTAGAGATGATCATGTGTTGGGTCAAGTCAGATTTTGATGCTAATTCGAATATAACATCCATTAATCTATCGCCTATTATTCGATTCGATGCGAGTTTAAGAAAAATTTATTTTTTAAAGAACAAAAACTCAATCTTATAGAATCGAATCGAAACCGTTAAATTAAGATCAAATATATATCCACAACGACGCTGTCGTTTTAAACTTTCACGAGGAAACACGATGAAAGGCAAAACATGCATGAGAACGATTAAATAGTAAAAGAGATTTGATGATATTTGTCCACCTTGCTTGGTTGCTACCTCTGTTATGTCCTATCTGATGAGTAGGTTGACAAGAATATCACCATTCTTGTTCCTCACCAACCCTAAACGCAAGGGTAATTGACCCCACGCCTAGCCTCCTCACCATTTTGGCACTTACGATTTAGGGTTGTTTATTCCAACATTACAGCGCTTCTTAAAGGAAGACTAGGGTCGCTTGTTTGATTTAATCGAAATTACTTGCAAGTAATATATGGTCCGTTTGAGGAAAAATTAGGGTTTTGCTAATTTCGAAATTTTCCTGGTTTATTTCTGGCGTATTTTATGAAAAGAGCCAAAGTTTTGAGTAAGCCTCCTCACATGATGATCTCATTTTTAACTCAATAAATTACAACAAAGGATGGGGAATCCTTTAGATGATGGCTAGATTGTATTGAGTACTTAACTTAGGTTTTTTTTTTGTATAACCACCGTTATCCGATCTATTGATTGATTAATCTGGATCGGGTACTGTAGGAGCAAAGTCGACCTTCTCAATCCAGTTTACTCCAGTCACAATTGTCAGGATTCGAACCTATAAGTTTACTTAAATAATCAAGTACCTCATCCCACTAGATCAACTAGTCGTTGGTACTTAGGTTTTTACTTGAACATTAGTTATAATATAAGTACGAATGTTTGAGTACGAGGCTTTTTGAAATAAATGAAATAAAATTAAAAAAAAAAAATCGGCGAGAGTTAGTTCGATGGTTATATTAAACTAAATGCTTTATTATATTAACATTGATTGTTAAACTTATTTTCTAACAATCATTTTTCAAAAAGATTATTTTTTTAATATACATTTTTGACGTGATGGATATTCGAACTTATTCATAAATTCTGAAGTCATCACCAACTCAAAAATAGTAACATATGTTAATATTATTAAATTATGAATTTTGGACTTTGATTATCATACAGCGTATGGTATGGGGAAAGTATCACTATAAGAAATAATCATCTTTTCCGAATTTTCCTTTTCACATGTCCAATTTGGCCTTATTCCTATGAAAATAATATTATCAAAATAGAACGGTAAACTGGACAAATAATGACTGAAGTACGAGAAAATTTCTCTTTTTTCACTTATGTTTCTAAAGTAAAGAATTTATTATTAATACTATTCATATATAATTGGTCAGACCGCATAGATAAATAGATTTTTTCCATTAAAGACAAATACATGAGTGTTTAAAGCCATATATTTGATTACCAACAACCAGTTGGTTTAATGGGATGAGGCATTATGTCCCTTAAGTAAGGTCAGGGTTTCAAATCCTGGCGTTTGCAAATGGAGCAAACTGGGTTGGGAGGGTCTCCCTCGCCGCTACAATACCCGATCTGGATTAGTCGGTCAATAAATCGGATATCAATGATTAATTCAAAAAAAACCATATATTTGATTAATTTTAATGAAAAAAAATAATGCTTTTGGGATGATTTTCATTTTGCAAGTAAAATAGTTAGAATATAATTGAGATGGTGGGGTGTTTAAAAAAAAGGAAAATTAGAAACTTTTTCGGGTAAATTAGATACAAAACCATTGTTCAATGATCTATTTGATGTTTTAGCAATAGTTTAAGAGTAAAACTAAATATTAACCTTTGTATTAACGACGCCACGGCATCAATCAACCAGAGATAACAGTGGAATGACTGTTTTATTACAAATCGATAATGTTAGTGATTATTTTATTACAAATCAATCACTTTTAAAACTTTAATGGGGAAAACGAAAACTTACAGGAGCACTAATAACCATTGGTGTAGTTTACCCTAAATAATAATGACATATACTCTCTTATTAAAGTTCAAACTTTATTTATTTATTTATTTATTTCATATAAAACAAAATGTTATAAGATTTTACTTATTGGTGGATAAAAAAAATCAACGACTCGTGATGGTTTATTTCAATTAATTTAAATAAAAAATTTATTAAAAATTTTATAGTATTAAACTTGAATTTAGTCGGGACCGTCCTTGATAAATATCACTCGCTCTGTTCGATAAAAGTTATCCATTATTGATTTTTTTGGTCATTTTTTTTAAAATTTTTATCAATAATTATTTAAAATTTATAATTAATAAAATATATTTTAAAAATCTTCGATCAAGTAGTTTTTAAATATATATTATAAAATTTAATTATTTAAAATAATCACGAATAAAGTATTTTAAATTATATGTATGGCAATAGTATAATTGTGAGGTGTCTAATGGAATTTGGTGAAACCAATAAGTCCGTCCAAAGCAACTTTCCATCGTCAAAGAGATTTTTTGACCAATATCCACACATTTGCAACACGTTCTCGGTCGACAACTTAGCTGGCCTCATTTTGTCAAATACCGTGCCCTAGTGTTTGTTTGCCTTTTTTTCAATAAAAAATAATTTAATGTATAATTAAATAATCATTTTAATTTTAATTTTTTTAATTTTGAAGTATTTTGGTTCTTAATAATTTAAAAAAAGAGAGGAAAAATAGAAACCAAAATAAATATTTAGTGAAACATTAAAGATATTTTTTGACATCATGCCTAGATTTTTTTAGATACCATAAGGCTATTCCGTTTATTTTTTTATGCTTTCAAAATTCTTATTAAAAATTAAGGATGAATTATTTATTTGACATTCCACCTATTTTAATATTTTTATTTTGGTCATTTAACTGCTTTGGTTTTTAAAATCATACTTAGTTTTACGTTTTTTTGTAATTTTGATACTCCACTGTTAGGTTTGATCGTCTGTGAAACATAAATGGTTGTTCGTTGACATCATAGACCAAAATTCAAGTTGTGTGCCACAAACGTAGATGTGAATCCAATAAATTAATGTCGATGGCCGAAATAAAATTGTAAAATTTTGTGCGCCGAAACTATAATTTATATTTTCAGAAGGCTTAAATTATATTATTGATTGTTGAGGGGGACTAAAACTGAAATCATTCCATTTTACTGCTTGAATTAGGCCATTTTCAAGAGATGGATAATTAATAGGCTTGGGACACATTTGGGTCTACCAAATTTATTGGTTGGATAGTTAGATTTGTCAGCCAATTTATGGGCTTTTTAACTCCATTTATCACTCTTGATTATGGACCGACCTATACAAAAGGACAAAAGAAATTATTACATTATAAATCATTTGTAACATTACTAATAATAGAACTATATTAGGTGTATTTTACCCATAAAAAATCAATTTATAATCATCGCAAATTAACGACTTCACCTCACTCTCTAAGTCACTCACCAATTCACGTGGATGGTGAGGATAATTCCCATGGCATCCTCAATACGACCTTCGCTCTCGTCGTTTAGGTTCTCCGATAGCGTAACGGCTTCGCGCCACGGCCTTCGCCTTCATCGGCACCTCCTTTTCTCGCATCTCAGCTGTAAGAAACTTCTTCTTTTTTAGTTTTTTTTTAATCAATTCGTTTCCGTTATATGCCTTGGAATTTACTTATTTATATTGTAATTGTTGTTTTTTAAAGTTAATTTAACTTCCGAGAGAAGAATTAGATCGAATTGAGGTTTATAGTTGAATTTCTGGAGTTGATTTTAGATTTTATTTTGAATAGTTTTATATATAAGTTTCTTGAGAAATTTGGAGGCATCTGCATTCTGCATGTAATGCAATTATAATATCTGTTTGGAAGAAAATATCATTAGCTTGTAAAAGTAAGTACCAATATTTGGAGATTACGTTGAATTTTATAGTATTGGAGAAATGACTTCGGATAGATTTGATACGGTATATGTTTTTATTTGAAATTTTATCCAGCGGTTCCGCAGGCGCAATTCTTTGGTTTGAAAGCTTCAAAGCTTTTGAAAACCGCAGGAACAAGGGCGCCTCATGCTGTACAGGCAAGCACGGCTGTGGCGCTAGAAACTGCCCTGGAGTGGATTAAAAAGGACAAAAGAAGAATGCTTCATGTTGTCTACCGAGTTGGGGATTTGGAGCGGACTATCAAGTATGTCTGTTCAAGATATATTGTTTCATTTTATTTGTTAAGCTTGTTAGCAGATTGCTAGATGGAATCCATTTTTCTCTGTGAACAATCTTGTGGTTAGAATTTTTGAACCAAACTCGAATGTAATGTGGTTGCAGATTCCATACAGAGTGCCTGGGAATGAAACTGCTGAGGAAACGAGACATACCGGACGAGAGATACACCAATGCGTTTCTTGGATATGGGCCAGAAGATTCTCACTTTGTTATTGAACTCACTTACAGTAACCTATCATACTACTCTTTGCTTTATTTTTTTCTTCTTCTAAACTTTGATAAGTCTTGAATTTTGCAAATGATTGCTATTTATGAAAATATTGCTCACCCATAGAGTAGTATTAGATATGAGCTCAGTTTTGGATATTCATTTTCCTTGCTGTTGACACTTGACACCAGATTACGGAGTTGACAAGTATGATATTGGAACTGCATTTGGTCATTTTGGTATTGCTGTTGAGGATGTAAGTTTGAACTTTGCTTCCCAAATTGTTTTACCTTTTTACATTTTTAATGAAGATGATAGGATGTGCTGTATCAACCACTAGGTTCGAGTATTCAAAGCTGAATGCTTATATTCTCCTCTGATTAGGTTACCAAGACTGTGGAACTTATAAAGGCTAAGGGTGGAAAAGTAACCAGAGAACCTGGTCCAGTGAAAGGTGGTTCCACTGTAACTGCATTTGTTGAGGATCCTGATGGTTACAAGTTTGAACTGATTGAAAGGTGGCCTACTCCTGAAGCTTTGTGCCAAGTAATGCTACGTGTTGGTGATCTTGAGCGTTCCATTAACTACTACAAGAAGGTGAGATTGCTGCAGAAGCAATGCAATTTTCTTTGAGGGTTACTACATTTTGAGTCTTGTAATGGGTCTTAGTCTCTATCTTCTTTTGTTGCAGGCCTTTGGCATGGAGCTTCTTCGCACACGAGATAATCCAGAGTACAAGGTAAGTAACTATCCTCTATGTTTATTCCGGTCAGAGAATAGGAAAAATTAAAGAATTCCTTTTTTTGGGAAGACTAGGTCTAAAGGGTTGCAACTAAGGATTCAAGTGCGTATACTTTATGTGTGCTTTTTGTCTTGATTAGTTTGATTGACGATAGTATTCATGTAATAACTGGTATGTCGGATATAGCACTGACCTACATTTATGAATTTCCATTTAGTATACGATAGCCATGATGGGCTACGGGCCTGAAGATAAAAATGCTGTGCTTGAGTTGACTTACAACTATGGTGTCACTGAATATGTTAAAGGAAATGGCTATGCTCAGGTACAAATATTTATGGTTTCTTTTCACATATATGTCGAAAGGATTTTTCATTTTTCGTTTGCAACATATTACAGCACGCAGTATGTTTTTTTATTCTATACGGGAACAAAAAGTTAAAGCCACGTTACTCTCAACTCTACAGATTGCGATCGGCACAGATGATGTTTACAAAACTGCAGAGGGAGTCAAACTTTTTGGTGGACAAATTACCCGGGAACCTGGGCCATTACCTGGTATTAACACCCAGATCACAGCATGCTTAGATCCTGATGGTTGGAAGACGGTATGCCTCTCAAAGCATTTATACACTTTTCAGTTCTTTATCGTTCGACAGTATCACCGCCGTATATAGAAAGAAAGAATATCAAGAATGTTTGTGTATCGATTAATTTTGCTTTTTAATTTTTCAGGTTTTTGTTGATAATATCGACTTTCTCAAGGAATTGGAGTGAGTTTTGAACATTTTCTCATATGATCTTCTTAACACTGAAATTCAAAAGCTCAAACGATTTGTGGAAGAAATTTCCTTTATAACTCTGTCAGGTCCATTTTCAGTTTAGTTTTTCTTCTATTTTTGTTTCAGTCAAATTCAACTCTCTTATAGTTAACAATAATATAAAATTATTATTTCATCGGAATTTTTGTTTTTTCCTCTAATTATTTCACAAAACGGCTATAAAAATACAGCAGTATGTAGGACACTCCGTCTCTTAGGAGCCATAAAAACAATCTGCCTCATACCTCAATTCTCATGCATGTCACCCTTTCTTATACTTGGACATTTCTGTGCTCTGATTCTGTGCTCTAATACTTGGACAAGGTGTGAAACACCCTCGACCGAGTTAAGGGTACCGGCACCGAACAGAAGTTCAAGACTCGAGATAGGGTCTCCGATAATCGTCGTCGAAGCGCCCAAGGTGATAAAGACTGCAGCATCGGTTCCATGCCTCAGAGCTAACTCGGGCCTCGTCAAGCCCGGAGATGTTGGAAGGTACTGTATGTTTGCGTATGTGAGTACGTATAAGCTGTTTTAACAAATACTTAATGCCTCGCTTGTATTGAATAGAGCGGCTACTTTAACCTTTGTGTGTTGCAGAATTGTTTCAAGAAAACCCAAAGATGTATGGGCTGTTCGTCTGGCTATTGGCACCTATCTTTTAGATGGTAAGTACTTCAAAGCTTTGGAATTTGATGAATCTGAAGAATGATATTGTGGTTTGATGATATACATCAGATTTTTAAGATAGTATGTCTGATAAAACAAGTAAAACTATAATATTAATGATTTAGGGTTTAGTATGTCTGATATAGTATCATTAAAAATTATTGTTAGTGGTCTTAAGATAATGATAAACGTGCTCAAAGTATATATTCTGAAAGTATTATAATCAAGTATTAATAGGAAGAAAAAAAGTACATCGTAAAACAAAAAAGTACAAACAAATGATACCATGTGGAATATAACATGCTTGCACTTTCCAAGTCTTGGTTCATCGTATCGGTTAGACTAATAATTTTTTTCATCAAATCTGTGTTCCATCCATAAATTTTATATTTTAATTATATATTTTAATTTAATCATTTTCATTCTTATACCTTTCAAATTTTAAAATTTCAATCTTAATCTAAATAATATAATTAAAATATAGAAATCTGAGATTTAAAATAATAAATTGAAGAATAAAAACCATGAACCATTTGGGGTTGGATTGAAGAACATTTTCCAAAACAAAAATGATGTGAAAAAACGTTGTGAAAAAGTATAAAATGACCATAGTTAAATTAAAACTGAAATTTCAAAATATAAAAAACGTAAAGACTATGAAATTAAAGTCCAAAACAAAACAAACTAGTATCGGGACCAATAATCAACGAGTGAAGGAAGTCCGCAATTGCATAGGACTAACTTCGGGACCTCGTGACGACTAAATCCATAACTTTCACATAGTATAGAGATTAATAATAGAAGGGTAACTTATGCGTTTAATATTTAAAATACTAATTTTAGTCTATTTATACATTAACTTTTAATTTTTTCTAAACTATACTTAAAGTTTCTGCCATTAAAAACTTTAATTTATGTCTCATTTTAGTATCACATTCAAAATTTAACATTAAGTTTTGAAAAGATTAAAAACTTAGATACTAAAACAGACCAAAACTAATAGTTTAAGTACTAAACGCGTTAAATTTTTAACGACGAGATATTAAAATGAAACAAAAATTAAACTTTAAATATGATTTTTTTAAAAACTGAAAGTTTAAGTACTAAAACGGACCAAAACTGATAGTTTAGATACTAAATGCGTTGTTTACCCATAATAGAATCTTACCGGTAACAAATCACATGGGTAGACCTCAGCTAACCTGGAAATTAGGTTCAATTCTGATGGGTAGAATTTAGATTAATTTTCACACGGCAAACTGATTTCAAAACAACTCAAAAACAGGTATTACATGCATATATACATATATTCTTGAAAGAATTAACAACTTTCATAAATATTATTTACACGCACAATACTCCCAGCATTCCCTTTTCATACTAATTACAAAGCTAGCCAGTTTTCCCGACATTTTAAGACCAACTACAGGCATAAATTGCATCAGTTTTCGAGAAAGCATATTTAATCACCGGTGGTTTCAGTAGTTCTACATACCTGAAGGAGCTTGAAGCAAATGCTACCGTCAACCGGTTTCGGTTGCACAGGATCGAGACCTGACTAATACTTGAGTCAATAAACAGAAAAAAGAATTCTTAAATTTGACAATTGGTGAATGGGGAATGTTTTATCCCCCCACCTGGTTCGGAACTTCATACACGACATGAAATTGCTTAAAGTCCAATCTTAGCCACTTAGAGCTCCTCGGACCTCTGAAATCCGAGTGGCCACAGTGAAAAGCAAATTGTAGTTTACTGTCTATCTTCTCCGACTATCCTGAACAACTTCTATTGGGGTTTTACATGATACGACAAGCTTGGTGGTTACATATTGTCGGCATACTACCCTGTTAGACTAACCAATCCCACCCAATCTAGTTGAAACCGAAGGCACGGCTCAAATGTAGATAGTAGCAGAATCAAGGACTTAGGGAAAGATATTACCATCACTAGCGTCTTCAGTGTTCACCGGGCGGGATTTAGCAGCCTTTACTAGATCTGCCATGGTTAACACGTAGATAAATATTTGTCTTAAGGTCTTCAAATGCGTCCCTGAATTGTGATTTTCCTAATCTTCCCTCGTGGTGGCACTGTAGGCAGAAATGCATACTGCGAATTAGAACGTAGGAACTGAACATAAACAAAAGATATTGAAGTAATGCACATTGACAGCACAGAACAGCTAACTTATCATCATTCTTATACGACAACGTAGAGAGTATTCTGGTCTTCTCATGTTCAAACACAAAGATATTCAAGTTATGCGCACAAACAAAATAGAAATCGGAAAGACTTTGTAATGGAGAAAAGCAATAAACTCCACGAACTAAACGAGTCCCTCGGAGGCAGCAGATAAAACCATAAATCATGCAAAAATATCCCGTGGGGCAGCAATATAATCCATTAAACATGATTAAATTTACATGAAAGTAGACGGTTTCATCTCTTATATCAAAGTATTTCAAAATAAAGACTTTCGCCTTTTGTTTTCAATATCTAGAATTGATGATTTAGATACAAATAGATCATATCATATAAATTTCCCCAACTTTCCCCACCATAGATACAAAGGTCGCTGAAATATGTTTTGCATGTTTGGTCATGATGCAAGAATACCAGAATTAACTGCATTTGGATAGATGTCCCATTTAATTAGAAACTGATCTATGAGCTAATAAATTACCATTTTCATCATTTGGCAGAAGAAATGCGCTGCAATGATGAAATCAAACTACTTGAAGGTCCGATTTTGTTTCCTTGTCCACGGCCGGAATTAGCAGCATCAGGGGGCAAAGTTGATTTCTGACCATTTCTTTTTGAGGTGCCAGCAGGTGAAAATGAGGACGAGGGAGAATGAGAGGGGAAAATCTGACAAAATAAACATTAAAATTTAAACAACGGAAAGACGCTATAATGCAATGCAATACAAAATTAAGAAGTAAGAAAATATTTCCTAAATAACACAAATCGAAAACAAAGAGGTATATCGACAAATATCTACACAAACAAGAGTTTGGTTAAGATGTAAAGAAGAGTAGGTAGCATAGATTTTCCATATTAATTTGAAAGGCCACACTTACATTTTTATCAAGAGTAGTATCAGAAATCAAATTCTTTCCTGTTGCTGGTTTAAATTGCATATGGACACCATGACCCAAAACATTGCTTGATCGATTGATGTCCGTTGAATAAGTAGCACTGATGCCTCCTGGCAATTAAAGAATGACCCACTCTTAATGTTATTTCCAACCAAAACAAACATCATGAATAGTAGAATTTTTGAAATCATTCTAAAGATAATGATATATACATAAATGATTCATATTATCTATCAATTTCATAAATTATCAGATACGTGCTTCAACAACATTCAAACAATCCCATTATTAAAAGTGGCCAGGCAACTTGTGTTGTGTCTTACCTTCTGCCCCCAACAGAAAGCAAAACCATCAGATACTGTTACCTAGCTTCAGTAACCAAAAACAGAAATAGTAACTACATGGAAGTGTGCCATTTTGTTCTTTAAGTCATCTTTTTAACCAATGTAATCTTATGGATATATAAAATTCAGTTCCCACAAAGAAAGACAATAAAAAATGTACTTTACGGATTAGACTAGACCCATTGACTTGCGAATTTAGAATATATATATATTCTAACGATGAAGAAGATGTTTAAAGGACAAACATTCTGAGAAAGAAAGAGAGGGATATTGAAATTGTACGGGTTTTTGTAAAGAAACTGCTATGATAACCACAATGTAAGGGATAGTAAATATTGGTGAATTATTTAGTTAATTGTTATGTCCAAGATTTAACTTTTCAATATTTTTTCCAAAAGGGAAAATAAACCCATACCATTTAAAAAATTTCTTTACTGAAAAAGAAACAAATGCATACTTTTGATAGACGAAGCAGAAAAGAAAAAAGAAGGTGACCACGATATTAAAGTTCTTTCAACCATGAAGATGTAACTTAGTTACTAAAGACACCATACTCCTCGAATTAAGACCTAGGAGGTCTCTGATTTTGACTTATTACAGGTCTTCTAGGATTCTTTTATCCAATAGATAAAGTCCTCAAAACATCATTCAGTCATTTGAGCACAAAGCTCATCAGCAGGAGCTAACCTTGATGATTATCTGCGCCAACCGGCAATGGCCGACTACTGCTACCTCCAGGAGTTGACTGTAATTGGCGATGAGATCTACTTTTCTGGGCCTGCTGGTACTTGATGATTGTCCAGTCAAATATGTAGTCAAAGTCATAACCTAACACAAAAAAGAACAACAAATTACTTTGTAGCAAAGCATATACAGAAATTTTGATCTATACTCATCATCATTTTCTAGTTCAACATCCTGATACTTAGACCAACAAGCCAAATTGCTTAGGGCTTTTAGCATATTTTAAACAAAAATGTCAAAGGTCATCCCTTTAGTTCACTATCTTTTAGCTCATTACAATTAGTTAAACCTTGCACTTTGAAACAATGAGTCCTTATATGAAAATATAAGATGTAAGAATATAGCATATGTCAACTGTATAAATGTTATGGCCAAGAAATATAAACATTTGACAATTCCAAGCAAGGGGACGGGAATACATGAAAGACAAAAACTGCATTTTACAGAAATAATAGGTAGAATGTATACAAAACTACCTTCACGAGCAAATAAATCACGGAACAGGCGCTTCAAGAATCCATAATCAGGTCGTTGATCAAATGTCAAAGAATGACAATAATGAAAGTAGGATGCAAACTCCACCGGATGAGACTTACCAAGAACCTTGATAAACAGAGGAGTAAACAGAAACCATGTTAATCAAATCATAATTGAACAACATGGAACTCAAAGAAAAAATGATGCAAACACACCTCAATAGGAGTGGACACTTTCTTCTCACTTATTTTATCATATTTCTGCTTCTTTGTGGCAGCTTTCAAACCTTGCCATGGAAGGCTATAGCATGAAACATTTTGGTTGATTTAATATACAGCAACATATACCAATTCATAAAATCACTAAAAAAAGATTCTCTACCTTCCTCTAAGAAAATATAGAAGTACATAGCCAAGTGACTCCAAATCATCCCGCCGACTTTGCTCTGGAACAAAAATATTATAAATCAATAAGCAAGCAAATGAATAAGTTCTTGATCCATCTTTGATGAATCACCAAAAAGGATTACCTATTCCAAGATGTGTGTTGCAACTTGCATAACGTGCAGTGCCAGTTAAATTCTTGTTTTCTCTGTGAGAAGAATTTGTTGTCATAACAGCAATTTAATACTTGCATAACTAAACTGAATATATTCAGCAATTCAAAGAAACACAAAGGTAAGAAATAACAAAATACACTAGAAAACTATACCTATAGGGAATGTGGCGATTAGTAACAGAGTCTCGATATCTTTTCGCAAGCCCAAAATCAATTATGTAGACCTGATTTGCTTTGCGACCAAGTCCCATGAGGAAGTTATCAGGCTTTATATCTCTATGAAGAAATCCCTTCGAGTGAACATATTCAATTCTTGTAATCTAAAAGCATTAAACAATTAAAACACAAAAGTAAGTAAAAAATTACACAACCAATCCAAAATAAAATCAAAATGAAAATGCCACAAATTTATGTTCACCATTTGATCAGCCAACATTAAGACAGTTTTCAGCGAAAATTTCCTGCCACAGTACACAAAAAGATCTTCCAGACTCGGTCCAAGCAAATCGAGAACAAGTACATTTTCTTCCCCGTCAACACCTGACCATTTTATGCTTGGAATTCCACCTAGGAATAAATCAAAATCATCGAAACAAACTCGTCAATTCACAATTCTTAAAAGCTTCAAAAATCAAATAAACAAATATATTCTAAGTAGTAGTACGCCGTACTTCCTCCTTGTAGAATATTGTACAGTTTGGCTTCGTAAAGCAGCTGCGGATGCTTTGTTCTTCTGTTCTCCTGTAAGAGCCAAAATTAAAATAATTTACATAATTTTAAATTTTAAAAATCAAGCAATTATCAATTCAATCTCACATGTCCAGGCTAAGAACTATAAACGTCAACCAGATCATGATTCACGAATCTAAAGAAACACTTACGATCTTAATAGCGACGATCTCAAACGTATCGATGTGCGTAGCTGCCAAAACAAAATCATAAAAAATCACTTTAACATACACAAACAAAAAAATAAATATAAAGAACTAAAAATAAGCGGATGAGACGAACCGAGATAAATTTCACCGAAGGATCCACTACCGATCTTACGGCCGAGCTTGAATTTACCACCGATGATTCTGTCCATGCTTCAACAGGACCGAAGACTCCGATAGATCAGATTCAGATCATTAAAGCTAGAGCTCGAGCTTAGAAGGGGCTTTGATAATGACTTTTTGTTCTGTTTTTTCCTGTGAAAAATCTGAAACCACAAACAAGAGAGGCCTCGCAACAAACACCAGAAAGGAACTGCGTGGATTTTGAGAATGATGAAGAACGGATAAACAAAAGATAAACAAATGTGTGGAGGGTAGTTCGGGGATTTATCGTATGTGATAAAGAAGAACGTTTGCCTGTTGAGTAAAGTCCTGGGTTTCTCGTGATGCGAAAAAAATTAAACTATTCGATATCAGCTTAATTATACTTAGGGTATTTGTTTCAAGTATTATCTCATATTTTCATGTTTGGTTGGTCGAAAATTTCATTTCCGATAATGTTTTTTTAGCAATAGTAGATGTTTTTGGTATATTATCGGGAATGTCATTACCTCCCTTCCCTTACGTATTGTAACATTACCGGCGTTTTGAACTAAAATGCCCTTAAATTTTTATTTTTTTCAAAAATATCATTCTTCTGTCATTGAATAATAAAAATTCTACGAAGGTTAAATTACAAATTTATCCTTAAATTATTTTAAATTTACAAAAAAAAAATCTATAATTAAAATTTTATATGAAGTTCAGGAGTTAAAAAAATTTAATCTTTCATTAAATATTTTTTATATTTTTAATTTTGTAAAAAAATTATATAAATATTATGAATTTAATTTTTTAAAGAAAATATATATATATTTTACAATTTGTAATATTATACAAATATATAATAAGGACAATTTAGTCAAATATACATTCCAATAATTTTTTATTCCTTTAACCAAACACGATAATCTTACATTCCTGCTAATCCAACCAAACACAAAATACAACATTCTCAGTAATCCTATTCTCTGGTAATCTTTTATTCCCACTGGTAATTTTACATTCCGTGAACCAAACGCACCCTTATAGTATACTTTTTCGTTACATTTGTATTTTATTAAATAGGGTAAATTACGTGTTTAGTAATTAAATTATTAATTTTATCCATTTTGGTACTAAATTTTTTTTCAAAACCATACGCAAAATTTAGATTTTGTTTCATTTTAGTACCTCATTCAAAAGTTAATGTTAAGTTTTGAAAAAAAGGAAAGTTTAGGTACTAAAATGTATCAAAATTGACAGTTTAGGTACTAAAAGCTTCAAGTTTTTAACAATAGGGTACTAAAATGCATAGTTTACCATATTAAATATTATAAAATAGAACCAATAAGGGTTTGTTTAAGTGATAAATAGCTTTATATCGATTGAGTATGGTATAGAGTTTGAGTCCTTGTGTATATAGAAAATTCATGTTGGGAGACCCACCTATCAAAGTTAGTTGTGCGACGCGGGTCGATACGGTTTAGTCAAGACGAAACCTTAAAAACGGTATGTCAAAAAATCTAAAATAGATCAATAATATCAAAGAATATGTGGTTAAAAGTTCTTAATTAATACTTTTCTAAATAAAAATTACTGGTTCATTCTTACTTGGAGAAAAATTCCCCTTCAACCTCTTAGAAATTGTTCAAAAAATATTATAAAATAATTATTTGATATTGTAGATTAATTTTAAAGAAAGTTGAAGAGATATATTTATTTAGTTTAATAATTTTTTTGCACATTGGATTCACGCTCACGAGGTTAAAAGGGAGTGACAATGGTGAGTGGCGGTCGAAGATGAAAGATTATATCGAATTCAGGGATCAAATCTATCATTTGTCTAAATTTAAGGGTCAAAATAATACTTTATATAAAGTTTAAGGGTCAAATTATTATTCTATCTAAATTTCAAATGCTAAATTAAAAATTAATCCTTTTTATTGATGTACAACGTCACCGAAGTAATAGGGGTTACGGCTAATTGATCAAAATATAACAATTGATACAAAAAATAAATTGATAATATGAGTAATCAAAATGTAACTTTTTTAAATTTAAGGAATAAAAGTATAAAAATATGGAAAGAGAGTGTCAGGTTCAGTAGTTTACCCTGAAATAAAACAAATAAGAGGGCGATGTTGGTTTGGTAGGTAATTTCGGGTTTAGTGGTGCTTTGCTTTATTGGAGTCGGATATGTATGAGATTTGGTCCGTTTACCAATTATTTTGGGGACTAGTTAGGAAAAAAATAATGTTGAGGGGACCATCAACGTCAATTCAAAACGAGCGACACAGACAGCCGTGCACCACCAAGATTCCTTTTATAAATTTATAATAAGAATTCTTCGAATTTTTCACAAATTCCAGTGTAGATTGTATAATTTGTCATAGTGAAATAATTCAAATTGTGATTTGCTTTAGTGTAAACTACTTATTTGGTATCTTATCTATTTATGCATTTTTATTTTGGTCACCTAATATATTTTTTTAAATTATACTTAACGTATGATTGAACTTAGTGAAAATAATGATGCAATATGATATAATAAAATTTTAGTCTTAAACTTATACATTTTATCGAAATGATCCTAATTTAAAATAATATAATAAATCATCAATATTTGAAATCAATATTAAATTAATAATATAACAATCCAATTAATAATAATCACCAAAATCAGGTGTGTTATGCGGGTCGATCGAAATTGTCATGACCAAACCCTTGAATAGACAACAAGCAATGTTCCAATACCCTTAGCTCTCATCTATTTTTAGGGGTTAGCAAAACTCGACTCGAAAATCAATTTTTTTTCTCAAATTGACTTCGAGTTGTAATTTCATAAACTTGACTCGACTCGAAAAAATTTCAAGTTCAAATCAAGTTGTAAAACGCAACTCGAATAAATCGAAATTTTTAGTAATTAGTAAATTAATTTTCAAGTTTGAGGCAAAGTTTGAATCGAGTCCCTTGATTTTATATGATATATGTAAATCACATATGAAGAAAATACGAAAAAATATATATGTATTGTATATGGTTATAAACATCATTTAAATTGAAATCAAATAATGTCATATTATAAATATGTATAATTAAATTTAAATATAAACTCTAAATTTTGACTCGACTTGACTCAATTCGAATTTTATAAACTCAACTCGACTTGAAATAATTTCAAGTCAACTCCGAGTTATGAAATAAAACTCATCAACTCGAATAACTCAAATTTTTTTAACTTGTCTCTACCGAACGCTCACCCCTATCTATTTTCATATAGGTATAGAAAACACATTATGTTTTTTTATAATTATTTTATAGGAGGAAAGTTTAGAGTGACAAGTTTCTTAGCTGGACTTGAAATGAAGTTGGGCGTTTCATTTCCAATAGTAGTAAAGCACTACTGGTTTTAGTTGGCCAGCCTAGCCATTGTCCTTCAATATATATTGATTTACACGTACATACCTAATGATACCGCTGGCTTCCGGTTGCCTAAAAAATATTTATTTAAATTCATCATGACGACGATTTCTGAAAAAAAATAATTTTTTATTAAAATTTATCACGTTGAGATAATAAATTATAATAAAAATAAATATTTTATTAAAACTGATCATGCTCACTTAACGAGTTTCAAGTTCCTGTAATAAATACCGTAGATTGCTGATTAATTTTTGAATTGTTATAATAACTTAAATAATTATTATGCGAAGATTATTGTGCTAATTTTGCCTGTTCAATCAGCCTAACTTTCAATATAGATACTAAACATCAATTTTAATTAAATGTTGTATAAGTAAAACCAAGTTATAAATAAAAAAAATTAAATATTTGAATACATTTCGATTTCATATATATATATATATTCACGAGAATATGAATTAAATTAGACTTAAGTTATAAATTTATATTTTTTTAAAATCTGTTAGAGATAATATATTTATAATAATGTGTACATAAATGTTTCAATTTGAATCAGTTTTTTAAAAATGTGCTACACCGACTATTTGAGGTAAAATTTAATGTCAAATGTAATTAAGCTAACAGAAATATAAATGTGAGGATTTATTGAGTCTCTATTGGTAAAAATAATATTTTTTTAAAATTTTGAGTTCATGCAACTGCATTTATAGGACAGGCATGTGTGGTCAATATTAGGGACGAGCATGAGACCCGAATCCAACAGGTTCCAACCAACCGGATTCGATCGAGTCATTTTTATTAATTTCAGGTTCAGATCGGGTTTGAGTTTCGGGTGAAAAAATATCCGATCCTACCCAAAAAAATATAATTTTTTCTTATATATTTAAGGATAATTACAACATTAACTCTCTCTATATTTTTACAACTAAATCCCTATTTTTATTGAATAAAAATAATATTTTTATTGAATAAAAATAATTTTTTTATTATTATTTCGGATTGAATCATGTTTGGATTTTATCCAAAAATAAATTAGGTCAGGTCAAGTAGGGTGGATGATGTATATTTTAAGAGTCGGGTCAGGTTGGCCGGAACCCGACCCAAACCCAACCCGTGCCCATCCATAGTCAATATACTAAGAAAATTATGAACATATTATTAAAAAATATAAATTTGAAGTTTTGAATCAATTAAAATATAAGTTATAATTTGGGGACCTACCATGGAATTAATCCTAAAAACAACGATACGATTTTAATGCACGGTAAATATATATATAACAAATCGCACAAAATTTTCCCTATAGTTGACTAATGATCGGAGAAGTGGAGAAAATGTTGGCGGTGGGCCTGATCTGGGGAGCTACCAACGCCGCCATGCGCCGCGGCGCGCTCCTCTGGGAACAATACCTCAAGTCCAGTCCAGCCGCAGGCGTCCCACCTTGCAACTTCAAGCAAAGGATCCTCAAATCCTTATCCGATTGGCTAACCCTCCTTTTGTTTTGGCAATATTCAATCCCTTTCTTAATCAACCTCTCCGCGTCGGCCACTTTCTTCTCCATATTAAGCCAGGCTCCAATTTCGCTCGCCGTCCCGGTCACCAACGCCACGACGTTTGCTGCTACCGCCGTTTTTGGAATCGTGCTGGGCGAGCGGACCCGGATCGGTCTTGCTCTGTTGGGTACAGGTTTTATTGTTTTGGGTGTTTGGCTTTGTATCACGTGACCTGCATGTACTTTTCCTTTACCGATGTTCTTATTAACTGTTATTACGTTACCTTTTTTTCTTTGAAGCACAATTTAAAGCTCAGATTATGAATCATATGCGTATAATTTTGCTTTCATGTAGAAAAATCCTGTTGGTAACAGTGTTGTTCAGTTTATTTGTATCAAAATTTATTTATTAAATAGGAGGAAGAAAATGCAATACAATTGAAACACAATGAACCATACAAAACTTGATTCAAAATCATAGGGAAAAGGCAAACACATTTTGGGATGTGACAAAATTATTCTTGGGTTTATGTAGTAGGAAAAGAAATGGAATTCAGGAAACTTTCAGTTCTTCACATTGATTGAAGGCTGGGGATGGGATAGAACTTAGAACTGCTGTTTGAAACATTCTGGAGGAGTTTGTCCTTTGAATCTTTTAGTATCTTTGCAGTAGTCATAGATCATGAAGTTTTGCCTCACCCAATTCATTTGACCCATCTGGCTACTTCTCAACTGGCTGAAACGAGGGGAAGTCCACCAGTTAGCTGTGGTTTTGATGCCACATTGATTGATACTCACTGGTCCATCCCACTTGCAAGCTCTTGCCCTGAACCTGTGAAATCGGGCGATGAAAGGTGAGCTGTTCCAATCAATCTTCTCAAGACCTCCTCTGGTTGCCCAATTGTCTGCATTCCATAAACTGGCATGTACCCTCATACCTTGCTTGTTGGGAAAGGAAATGCCTTCTTTCTCGTAATTTCTGAAAACTCGGATTGGTAGGTTGTCAATGTACCACCTGAAACAATCAAGTGTTTTTTTGGTTAGTTTCATTACACATTTTGACTGTCTTGCAAATTCACTGAAAGATTTGGAATATAAGACAAATGGTCTGCATTTGCTCTCTGCTTCAGCTAGGTTTCTAATGGATATATTTGGAGAAAAGGCACTTGTTTAATAGTATAATTGATGGGGAGATAACTTACACAACTTCAGTGGGATTCCAGTTTATGGTGTAGTTTTGGAAATCGGCAGTCGGGTCAAACCACAGGTAGAATTGTTGTTCTCTGCTTCCGTTTCCTTGGGTAAAGATGTTTGTGTGAACAATATATGGTTGTCCGGAAACATTACCTAAGAACTCGAAGTCAATCTCGTCGTGCTTGTCTCCGGTAGAGGATACCTGCATATATTTCAGGATAAAAGACTACAATGTTATATTCTTCATTATTTAAATTTCCTCAGTTCTTTCTTGTTACTGTGGGGTGTTCTAATGAACTATAGCTAAGGTGTAATTCGATCTGCATTTGTCATTAAAACAGATAATTTTACTGCATTATATTTAGTTGCATTTAAGTTGCTGTCACTTGTATTTTGAGTATCAACTTTTCATCTTGTTGAATGTGGTTTGCCCGGGAAATTTGTTTTTGACTTGTGTTGAAGGGACGAAAGACGACTGAATATAGGAGATTTACCGGAAGCAATTGAAGGTGATGTTTACGATGCATTTTATTTGATATTGAAATATTAGCTTTACACATTGTTACAGTTACATAGTAGGCCGTCACCGTTCCGGCTGAGTTTCCAGGTACCAACTTGATTAGCATTTCAATGCTTCCAAGTAAGAATGCCCTCTTTGATTTAACAGCAGAACCTGGAAAAAGAAAACCCAAATGGAATGTGTTATAGTTTGGTATTGTCTATTTGCTTTAGCATCACTCATCGAAAGTCATCGGATAATAGGTTTACCAACACAAGCTGAAGGTCTTCACCATTGCCTGCAAAACTCGAATGATGAGCACCCCAGTTTATGTACATGCTCTTTGGGAAATTCGCTTCAACAAAACTTTGATAGACTACAAACGTTGCGATGAAAAGAGCCAACAACGCTTGTAAAGTAGCCATTTCCGATTGCATCGGAGAACCGGGCTCGGGTGGTATTCGTTAGCCAATTAATGCCGTCGAAAGGTGATGCCTTCCTCCATTGTTCCCGATGGCTTTATATAAAGCTCGCTCGGCAAATCTGCCTGGCTCAGATTGAACGTTGTCTTTATAGTTTTTTAATTAAAACTTGAAACATGTTGAACTTGTCATGGTAGAAAACCCTCCCATGAAATTAATTGAGACCCTGTAGATATAAACTATGAATATAGTAAAATTATACGTCATGTTCGTTGAGTCTTATAACTGTTCATATTATTATTACTGCATATGTAGAGCCGGCTTTAAGGGGTGCAACCCCCTATTTTTTAATTTTATAATCAAGGGCCCCTAAAAAAATGATTTTATAAAACAGTCCATATTTTATATTTTTTATAATAAAAAAGTCACAATTTATTTACTTTTTTTGCTTTATTAATGTAATATTAGATTAATTATTCAAAATAATATCGTATATTTTCGTTTTATAGGATTTGTTTTTTGAGTTTTTGCTCTAGTTTTATAGCTAGGAGTTACTAATTTTTTTTTTTCAATTTTATAAATAAAGTCCAGACTTTATACTTTTATAACTAAGGGCTCACAATTTAATCATTTTTATGGTTTATTAATGTAATATTAAATTTTTTTTTAAATAATAGAACATATATTTGTTTTATAGGGCCTATTTTTAAGTTATCAATAAAAAATTATAACTAAGGGCCCCTAGTTTTTTTCAATTTTATAAAATAATCCCTACTTTTTACCTTTGCGATTGAAGGCTCATAATTTAATTATTTTTATGATTTATTAATATAATGTTAAATTAATTGTTCAGAACAATAGAATATAGTTTCGTTCTATATGGCCTATCTTTAAGGTTTCGCTCAGCACCGAATATATTCGAGATGACTCTGAATATATATGAAGATATAGATGAGTTTACTTAAGCAAACAACATCCTATCAGGTACGAGTGGACAAGGTTTTCACCTATTTATTCTTAAAATTATATTTAATGTTTCACCTATTTATTCTTGTATTTTTGTTTGTCATTCGATTATTATTTTTCAAAATTATATTTAATATTTTATTTTTATTTTAATTCTTCGTTGTTATTTACATATTATTAAAAATGATAATTGTGTTATTGATGATGAAAGAGAGTTTGACATGATTTTTTTTTATTAAGTTAAGATGATTACAAAGTAGTATCGATCTGTTCTAAATACTCTCAATCATTTGACAATGAACGCTCAATCACCCTGCGCAGCCGCTGGTGCTCAAACTCGTGATCTCTAGGAATAATAACGATTTTTTTAATCACTGAGGTAAGTTGGTTCATGCATGAGACTAAAATATCACGTTAGTATAATCATCAAAAGTACAAAAAAAAAGGTATAATCTTCAAAACAAAAAGGAAACATATTGGTAAGTATAATATTTTTAAAGAAAATAATTGGACAATGAAAAAAGAAACACTAAAATAAATAAATGATTAAATATGTAATTTACGTTTAGGTAAATTAATGAAAATAAATAAGCAAAAGTTAACGTGAGAGTAAGTTGGGTTAAGAATTGAGCACAGCTGGTACGGGGAGAGGAAGAGAAATGCAATGTCGTGCATGAGACTAATACCGATAGTGGAATAACGAAGTGCCGTTACAGCTGCCAGATGGTTCTTTTAGCCAAACCAAATCAGCACCACATTTAGACGTGCATGATTATTTGACAACTTCAAATGATGTCATTCCAACTATGGCGGTAAACAAGTTGAGTCGAGTTTGAGTATGGTTGAGTTCAACTTGACTTGAAAACTTTGAAACTGAGCTCGACTCGACTCGAAAACTTACGAGCCTAAAATTTTTAAGTTCGACTAGAACTCGAATTCATGAACTGAAGCTCGAAATGAAAAAAAATCTTAAACTTAACTCAATTGAAGCCTCAAACTCGAACCTGAACCTTAAATACATGAAAACCTTAAATCGCATTTAAAAAAAAACAACGCATAAATTTTGATCTAGCAGCTCACGAAATTTTAAAGTCGAGAATAGCTCGTTAAGAACCAGAGTCAAATATTTATCGAGTTTTATCTCATCTCTCTTACAACCCTAATTCCAACTTTCATTTTTCTGTTGGAATTAGGGGTGTGAATTAGAATATCTGTAAATATTTTTTATATTTTTATTTTATGAATTTGGATATTATAAAATAATATTAAAAAAACTTAACACTAACAGTGTTAGCATAATTTTTTTCATTGCTTCAATGTCAAAAGAATAATAATAATATTATATAAAGGAATAAAGATTTACAAAATTGAATTACGATGCCCATAACAGGGAAGAACAATGTATTGACAAAAAGAATAAAAGGGAATTAGAGGCGAACTTGCAGCGAAGTCTTCATAACGCCGCTATTTTTCTTTTCTTTATGGCATTTTGTATCAAAGCACCGCTAAATGTTATATCATATAGTGCGTTTGTGAATGTAAAACATCGCTATTGATTACGTATATAGTGGTGTTTTCTGTATAAACGCCGCAAAAAAATCTAGAACTTTAGTGGCGTTTTTCAAAAACTCTGGTATAAACTATGTATTTAGTGGCGTTTTTTATACAAACGCCGCAAATTAAAACTTTCAAATGATGTTTTCTACACTTTTGTTACCTAAATTTAACATTTAGCATTATCCAATAAACTTGACATCCATAACAACAAACTTTAAATCCATAACAAGAAACTTGAAATACATAATAATAAATCAAAGTTTACATTATCGTAAAATATAACGTAGTTCAACATTGTTAACTAGAATAAACAATAATTACACCTAAGATGGTGGACTCTGGGGTTGATTTTGTCGTATAATCTGCATCATAACTTGAAGTTGATTTTGAAAGTCTTCACGTTTTTTCTGATACGTTGCTTCTCTCTTTGCTTCCCTTGCTTCAGTTTAGGAGCCAGATTCTAAATTAGCAATTTAAAGGTTTTGTTCTTCAACTAAGCCAGCACAATTGAGCATTTCACCACAGAAAAAGGAATCCAAACATGAAACTCTCATTTTTTTCTCCATCAGTTTCAAAGAATGTGATGGATCTAAGATACAAATACAAAAGTTCACTTCCATTAACAAGGAAGCCTACCTAGTAACCAAACCTGTGCCATCAACATCAATTTTTTTGAAAAGCGACGTGGAGAAAAATGAAGGCAGCTTGCATACTTCCTTGGTCACAAGTTTGAATTCTGAAAATTTTAGAAAGTAAA